GGTTGCCGGAGATGGAGACAGAGAGGTCCAGGAAGGAGAATGGATATCAGTTTCTAGGTGGTTGCCAGAGATGGAGGCAGAGAGGCCCAGGAAGGAGAGCCCACCGACTCCCACAGCTACCTAGAATACACCTCCTCCCACCCACCTTCCTGCAAAAATGCCATCTCCTATTCCCAATTCCTTCGCCTCCGCCGCATCTGCTCCCAGGATGAGGCATTCCACTCCCGTACACCTCAGATGCCCTCGTTTTTCAAGGACCGGAATTTCCCCCCCTCAGTGGTCGAGAACGCCCTCGACCGCGTCTCCCGCATTTCCCGCAACTCATCTCTCACACCCCCTCCCCGCAATAACAACCAAAACTGAATCCCCTTCGTCCCCACGTACCACCCCACCAACCTCCGGATCCAACGCATCATCCTCCTCTGATGCTGCTTGGCCTGCTGTGTTCATCCAGCTCTACACCTTGTTATCTCAGATTCTCCAGCATCTGCAGTTCCTACTATCTCTGTGTTTATGACTATGTATATATATAAAGATTTTTACAAATAAAGTGTATTTTTGAAATAAAAGGTTCCAACAGCATGGGGTTCAATCAATTTTCTAGCTGGGGTCCATTGAAGAACTAGTTCCATCTCCACCATACACCACTGCATTGTGGGTTGTCCCTGCTTTCAGGCAGAGAACTGAAGACAAAGATTATTCCAGTTATTAGTAAAACAGAACTTTAAAATTATAGCAGGATCTAATTTTCAAGCATCTGAAATTTGCTGAAACATTGCAAAATTTCAGAAAGCAGGAGAAACTGATGATCTTAAATGTTCGATCACTCATCTGAACAGGAAACATTACTCCCCCTGATGGTTCAGTAAATAAATGCAAAGCCCAGATCATAACTCAAAACTACAGATGGAACGACTTCTTTTTCAATTCCTACTCTGCCAGCTTACTAGTAAGTCTTTTACAATTGCACTCAATGCCTGAAAGCTGCAGAAGTAAATGAATCTAGTTTCCGGATACTGATTGTTATTCAATGGCTCTTGTTGAAACCTGAGCAGGTGAAGGCAGCATGAGACTCACTAGTCACACATAAACAATGGCCATCAGTGTAGGCAAAACTTTTCCTCAGCCGTAGTCAGCATTCATGACTACAAACACAAGAATTATCACCATTAGCTTGCTGTGCAATCAATTTGATTATGGTGAATCTGTAACTTACTTTTTTTTCCTTTATTCGTTCATGAGATGAGGGCATCACTGACCAGGCAGCATTTATTGCCTTTTCTGAAGAAGGGTCTAGGCCCGAAACGTCAGCCTCTCTGCTCCTATGATGCTGTTTGGCCTGCTGTGTGCACCCAGCCCTGCACCTTGTTGTCTAGCATTTATTGCCCATTCCTAATTGTCCAGAGGGCAGTTCAGAGTCAACCACATTGCTGTGGGTCTGGAGTCACACGTAGGCCAGACCAGGTAATGATGGCAGTTTCCTTCCCTAAAGGACACTAGTGAACCAGATGGGTTTTTCCAACAATCGACAATGGATTCACGGTCATCATTAGACTCTTAATTCCAGATATTTATTGAACCAATCTTTGTTCTGACATCTTTAACATTTCCCTGCTGAATTAAAATCTATCACCCTCAGTTGTACTTACAATGTATCTAGCCCCACCAATTTTTTTTTGGGGAAGACAGTTCTAAATTTTCATGTGACCCATTGTGTGGGGAAGTGCTCGCTGCCATGTCTCCCTGATAGCCTTGTTTTAATTTGAAGGTTTTGCAACTTCATCTGAACATCACAGAAAATAGTTTCTGCCTTTCTCTTTCCTATCTTCTTTAATGCTCAGAAAACAGCTGAACTAGATCTTGCCTCGATAATTTATATTCAAGGAAATACAAGCCTGTTTGTGATTTCATCATTTCAGCTGCAGGTATATTGCTGCTCAATTTCACAGCACCCCTCCAGCAACATACATTCTTCCTGAAATACAATGCCTCTAACTCAGCATAGTCCTCTGAATGAGTTTGAACCAGAAGTTCATGTAACTATCAGAAATCATCCCAAATTCAGGGATTTACATATACATATTAATCAATTAAAAGCTTCTAACTGATTAAAGATTTAACAGCATCTTAGGTTTGTTTAATACCTCCTCATCAGTGGTGTGACCCTTTGATCTTTTACTTATAAATGTTGTGTCTGATACTACCTCTCTCACTAATACCTGAAGAAGGAGTGAGGCTCAAAAAGCTTTCAAATAAATCTGTTGGACTATAACTTGGTGTTGTGTGGTTTCTGACCTTGTCCACCCCAGTCCACTTCATGTAACTGTAGAATAACATTCACCTGTTTGTATTTCAGACTCCCGTCAAATAAATTACAACATTTTATGAGTCATAGAACAGTACAGCACAGGAACATACCCTTCAGCCCACGATTTTGCGCCGAGCATGACGCCAAATTAAATCAATCCCTTCTCCTTGCCCATGGTCCATATCCCTCCATTTCTTGTGTTTTCATGAGCTTATCTAAAAGCCCCTTAAACCCCCTTTCAGATCTACCTCCACTACTACCCCTGGCAGTGCGTTCCAGGCACCCACCACTGTGTTAATTAAATTATCTGTTAAATTATTTTTATTTTTTCTTACATTTTCCACACTGGTATCCCTCAATCACACACCGTAGTGGTTGAGGAAGGCAGCTCACCACCATCTTCTCAAGAGCAACTAGGGACAGGCAATAAATGCTGGCCAGACAGTGACACCCACATCCTGCAAAAGAATTTAAAAAATTATAGATTATCCACGGATCCTAACTTAAAACTTTTAGAAAATACACCGGTCACACTTAAGTCCAAAATGTTTGACCTCACACTTCCTGCCGTTGAACTCCATCTGCGTTTATTGAAGAGGTGACAAGTGAAGTATGGTTAAAAGAGAATTCAAGAAGTCGCTTTTGAAATTACACATGCCAATGTGTTTTTGTGAAATTGCTTTGTCCACGGTTTTGGGAAGAGTTAGCTAATTCGGTGATTTCATGGGCACTTAAGGGAAATAAACTTACGTGGCCATGGACTATAGAGCAGAAGAAAGGGGTTGGCTGGATTGATCCACACCTACCCAACATGGACCCGATGGGCCGAGTAGCCTCCTGCCATGTTAGCATGGCTCAAATTAAATCAGTGGAGGCCTTTACTCAAATCTTGCTCCCAAAATAATTTGACAAGATCACGCGAAGCGTCTGTAGTGAAATACTGATTCGACGTAAAACAGTTCAAGTACTAGACATGAAATGAAAGATGTTTAAAGTGTTCTTTGTCCAAAGGTTGACGGGCAAAATAGTAGTAGCTTTCAACGAAGAATTGGACTACTTTTACTGACCGTGGGTGTGCTCCAGCAGAAATAACCAAATCAGTAAAACGACTTTAATCATTCTCCATCATCCCGGACATGATTTCTGCTGCATATTAGCTCTAGGTCTGAGGTCGCCCGGTCAGCAGGACAGCCTCCTCTCCCACTCTCTGTGTCTGTGTGAATGAGTTCTCCTCCCTCGCACATCTCTTTGGCACCCTTCCCTACACACAGCCCCAGTGTCACTTCTTCCCTCCACAGGAGCCGCTCGCCTCCTGCTCCACACCGTTGGAACCAGCCCCCACTGCTTTCACATCCTGCTGCCAACTTGGATGGAGTTCACAAGTTACTGCTGCTCAGTGCTGAAGACATTCTTTGTCATCGCTACCTCCAGCTGCAAAATTGACCTCAGAAATCAAGTGGGAAAAAGGCCCCGCTGAAATCTAAATATTAGGGCGATTAATATTTAGATTTAAAACTCCTTTATCCCCCAGGCCTTCACCATGGAAGGAAATGCACGAATTCTAGCAGCTTCTCTGATATTCGCTTCACTTATTATTTTCGTTCGAAGAAGTGTACAAGGCCTGCTGTACAACAATCGGTATGATGGGTAAGTATTTTATTTTGAGTGTTGTTGAATTGTCGTTCAGGGTTCTACAGTAGTTACTGGCTATTCCGAATTACCCTAGAGAAGTTGGTGGCGAGGTGCTGTCTTTTTGATTTGCTGAATTTATTGTGTTCTATGTGCTAACACCAATAAGTATTTTAAATTGTAACTGAATTTTTGGAAGGATTTTTTTTTCATGACAGTCTGTATGTGACAAATCTGTGAAAACATGCCTGGTCACTGATGGAAATATAAATTAAGACGTGTCATTTAAATTTTATGCTTGGGAAGTGCCATTAAGTCGGAAACCTGATCTATAAGTTTGGATGTTGTCATAAATTGTGAGAAAGTTATTTGAGTTTTTAATTTCAATCAAATTATGAGTTTAAAATTGAGGGTATCTTCCTATGGTTGGCTTTGTGAAGTAGTTTTTCACAATTTGGTGCTGTTTGGTTCAGCAATAAATATTTGAAACTACTTGAGATCACTAGCATTATAGGCAGGGATGTTTTGCTACTCTTGTATCTCTGAAATTAATCAGCCTAAAAACTGAGGAGTAGCAGAAATGCATCCCCACCATGTTATTTACACTGCTACAAAAATAAGCAACTTATTAAATAACTAATTAAACAACAAACGTTTGTATACCTCACATAATGATGAGTGAGGAATGCAGTTATACAAATACATTTGATTTCATGTGTTACAAGTTGGGGAATATGTAAGAAAAGTGTCTAATATTTACATATTGCAATTTTTAAAAGGCACCAGAGTCTGACCAGACCATAGGACTGATCTCTCATTTCATAGAGATGACTGGTGGTGGTTTAACCTGGGGATCACCACACCACAGGTGAGGGGAGAGATTGAGAAGGAAAGGAGAGTACTTCATGGTGACCTCATTAGGTGCAAGAATTGAATACAAACTGCATCAATCTGCATTGCTAAACCAGCTGTCCAGCTAACTGAGCTACAGAATACCATTCCAGTTTATAAGAACACAGACATAATAAATATGCATCTTCATTGTACACTATTGATTGCAATTGAGATCAAGTGATAAACAGCAATTACCCAAATATAATTGAAATCACTATTGTCCCAAAGATCATTAATATTCCAAGTCAATTGAAAAGCTCAGTTAGTCTTTGACAAACATTTTGAGCCTAATTTAGTTATTTGGTGACAAATATGCTTGGATTACAGTTTCTGTAAAATTGTGTGTAAAGTTTTATTTCCAATCTTGGCAATTCAATAATTCAATAATTTAATTTAAACTTAATTGAAACAAAAATAGAAAACCACAATTTCATACAAAATAATTTAGACATAAAATGGATGGTTGATTTTAAAAAAGCTCTGCGATTGTAGATTAAATGTGTGACAAAGATCAAACAGAGGTTAAGGGATACTATGGATAAATCCTCTTTATGAACATCTGGGGGCTTGTGCCAAAGTTGGAAAAGCCATTCCACAGTCAAGCCTGATGGCTGACATTGTAATACTCACAGAATCATACCCTATAGACAATGTCACAGATTCCATAATCATCATCTCTGGCTATGTCCTACCAGCAAAGCAGACCTCAAGAGGTAATTGAATTGTGATACTCGTTTGGGATAGAGTAAGAGTTGCGCGGGGTGGTGAACACTAATGTGAAGATGCACTGAATGTGGCAAGGTAACAGAATGTACTCTCAGTGTGGAACCTCAATGTCAATCACTGAGTTTGGTTTGGTAGCATCACTACTGATTGAGCTGATTGAGTCCTAAAGTACATAACTGTTTGAATTGGTCTGGGCCAGTTGGTGAGTGATCCAACAAGGGAAATACTTGACCTCGTCCTCATCAATCTACCTGTTTGAACTGCATCTACCCGTGATGGTACTGTCTAGGGAGACCACTGCACAGTCTTTGTGGAAATGAAGTCACATCTGCGCATTGAGAATGCCCTTCATTGTGGTTGTGTGGCAATATCACTGTGCTGAATGGGATAGACTTTGAACAGATGGAGCAACTCAAACCTGGGCATCCATGAGATGCTGTGGGCCATCAACAGTAACAGAACTGAGTTCAACTACAATCTATGACCTTGTGGCTCAACATATGCCCCGTTCTAGCATTGACACCAAGTCAGGAAATCAACACTGGTTCAATGAATAAAATAGGAAGGTAGAACCAGACATGCCTGTTTATGCCACAACTCAAGACTACTTGGGTGCAAAGCAGCAGAGGCAGCACGAGATAGATAGAACTAAGTCATCCCATAACCAACGGTCAGATCTATGTTCTTCAATCCTACGGTGAATGTTGCCAAGCAGTTAAACAATCAGCAGGAAGAACATGCTCCACAAATATCCTCATCTTTAATGATGGGGGAGCCCAGCATATCAGTGCAAAACACCAGGTTGAAGTACTTGCATCCACCTTCAGCCAAGCGCTGAGTGGATGCACCATCTCTGGCTCCTCCTATAGTCCCCAGCATCACCGTTGCCAGCTGTTAGCCAATCTGATTCGCTCAAAGTCATAGCGTTGTACAGCATGGAGACAGATCTTTCGGTCCAACACGTCCATGCCAACCAGATATATTAAATTAATGTAGCCCCATTTGCCAGCATTTGGCCCATGTCCCTCCTAACCCTTCCTATTCATGTACCCATCAAGATACCTTTTAAATGTTGTAATTGTACCAGCCTCCATAACCTCCTCTGGCAGCTCATTCCAAACACATACCAACCTCTGCATGAAAAAGTTGTCCCTTAGGTCCCTTTTAAATCTTTCTCCTCTCACGGAGCCTGTGCAAAACTGGAGTCTATGGGAATTTGGGGTCAAACTCTCCACTGCTTTGAATCATATTTAGCATGATGGCTATGGTTATTGGATGTCAATCATCTCATTTCCAGGGCATCACAACAGAAATGCCCCAGGGTAGTACCCCAGGCTCAAGCATTTTCAGTTCCTTCACCAATGGCAGATGTGGGGATGTTTAATTATAAGATAATGTTCAGCACTATTTGTGACTTCTAAAACACTGAAGCCATCTGTGCTTATATACAGCAAGGCCTGGACAATGTTCAGGCTTGTGCTGATAAGTGGCAAGAAACATTCATGCCAAACAAGAACCAGGCAATGCCCACCTCCAAAAAGAGAAAGCGTAACCATCATCCCTGACATTGAAAGACATCACCGTCACTGAATTCCCCTCACTATCAACATTCTTGGGTTATCATTGACCTGAAACTGAACTAGACCAACTACATAAGTATCGTGGCTCCAAGTGCAGGCTAGATTTCTGATAAGTAACTCACACCTTGACTCCCCATCTATAAGGCACAAGCCAGGAGGGTGATAGAATATTCTCCAATTGCCTGAATGGGTGCATCTGGCCTTTCTGGCCCTTCAATTCTGTAATCATAAATCAGTAAATCAGAGACTTCATTCCACTGTAAGAGACACATTACAATTAACTTGTTACAACAGTACTCAATGTTAGACAATAACAAGTTTTTAAAAGAGGAACTATACCGTGGAAAGATATGGGCTGCTAAGATGACCCTATTTTAACTTGATCCCTTTTGTAAGACTGCAGCCTAATTTCTGGTAATTAGATACATCCTGAGGTCAGTTAGTGTTCAGTTGCTGATGAGTGATGTTTGTATAGATTGACAGAGGTTTGTAAAACCCAAATTTCATTTTTTTAGAGAAGATAGTTATCTAGGTCAGAGGAAGCCAAAAGAAAGTAATGATTTGCTTTTCTCCATTGAAAAAAAATGTAAATTACGCACTTGGTAGCTTCCCTCTCTGTTCCGTTGTGACTAACGGTGTTTCATAAATTATGATTGTGTCTATCAGGTAATTGTCTGTATTCTCTTGAGTTTAGATCAATGAGAACTGATTGTGTTTTAAAGGACTTGTTGAGGAGATTTTGAGGGATTCTTTTTCTGGCCAGGTGAATCTGGAAAACAGGCACAATCTCAGGAGAAGGGTGTAATAAATTAATGGTGAAATGAAGAATTTCTTCACTTAACAGGTTTTACATCTTTGAAATTGTCTCCTCCAGAGAGATGTTGTGGATATCCCATCATTCGGCCTTTTTTTTTAACATAAAAACAGCAATGTATATTTAGAATAAAAGTTCTGTTGCTTACAAAGCAACAAAAACACAATGGCTGGAAACCTGAAAGGAAAACAAAATATTTTGTATATGCATACCAAGATTTTCAAAGAGAAAAGACCAATTTGCATCTCATAATTCCAAACTATGCACCCAGATGAATGTCATCTGTTTTTTCTCTTTTCACAATTGGATATATGTAGGAAGTTCAGGTGTGTTTGAAGCCAGAAATTTTGAAGAAACAAAAGGAATTTTGTATTCATGCTAAAGTGACTTACATGGGATCGCAGAGGAAATCAAATTAAAATTAAAACTGGTTGAGTGTTGCTGTTAACGGTTATGCTCAAAGCAAATTTACTTGTAGCACCCCACATTTTGTTCTATAAAGCATGGAGGGCTGTATTTATTGTGTTATGGAATAATTTTCAATTTTTTCAATAAGCTTGATCTAAGTTCATTGTGTGAATATTTGAATTTCTCAAAATAAGATGAACTAAAGTTGGCATCATCTGTATTTATGTTAGAGACTTAACTGAAATTTACTGTAGGATGTGTTCGATTCAGTAAATAAGTGGTATCAGTATAAACAGAGTTCTTGGTTAGCGTGGAATGTTTTAGGCATAGCTGCATAGGGCGTGCATTTATGGTAGAAATAATTTTCAATCCAAATGTGAAGCAGCAAATTTTCTGCCTGTTCTTAAACTTCAGCAGACAGGACAAATTTTAATTTGGCAAACCTAGTAGAACAGAGCAGTGGCAGAATCAAAGTCAAGCTGCTAAACTTGATTGTTTGATTTCTAGCCAGGTGTGAAAAACTGTGGCGTAATTGCCAAAATGGCACTGTTATCTCTTTGGCAGACATCTAACAGTTAAAACCTGCCCAAATAACTGCTATATCCCTCACATTTTCCTGGAAGATGCTGCCCTGAGGTGTCAACACACCGCGAGAAGCCTTAACAAGCTGAGAGTCAGACTTCTGCCACTCAATATACAGAAATCCCACCCTCAAAAACTGCCAAGCAATCTGATTGACCAACAGCCTTTGCATTTCCAGCAGCAGAAGTGGGAGCTACTGGGATTGCAAGCATCTCCATAGAGAAATGTTCCAGATGCCCGAGATGGGTAAGTCCTGGGCTTTTGGGACAGGGTAGGGGGATGGACCCTGCACCTTAGGGAGAACAGAAGGGTGTTGGGTTTTGAAGTCCAGGCAGGGAAGCACAATCGATTTTAAGGGATTGATGCCACAGGTGTACACACAAAGCCCACCAAAAGGATGTACTTACACTTTTTCACCAGTTGGGTAACAAACAATGACTTTCTCACTCACCCATCTTCCAGTGCCCAGCATATCATACCAGTGAGACAGATTGACAATCTCTGTCCACAGTGATTGGGCAGTTATGGGCCTCAATAGGCCTGTGGGTAAACAAGCTAGAGGGTGCATCACCCAGGCCCTTGAACCTGTCCCACCATTCAGTGAGATTATGGCTGAGCTGTGTTCTAACTCTATATTCCTGCCTTTCACCCATATCGCTTAATATCTTTGCTGCGCAAAAATTTGTCAATCTCACATTTAAAGTAAACAAGAGATTTGGCATCATTGTCATTTCTGAAAGAGCATTCTAAACATCTACCTGCCCTTTTGAGTAAAAATGCCTCCTAATATCTCTCCTGTATGGCCTGGTCCTCATTCTCAGACATTCCTCTTAGTTGTAGAATCCCCATCATTTGAAACAGTTTATCTTTATTTACCCTGCCCTTTCCTGTTATTCTGCAGAATGCAATAAAAACATGTCACACCTAATCACTTTAGATTAAATTGCAGCATCCAGTTAAATAACTGACTACATAGAAGGCAAACATTCTTAGCTAGAGTCACAGCGTCGTACAGCACAGAAACAGACCCTCCAGTCCAACTCGTCCATGCCAACCAGATATCCTAAATAAATCTAGTCCCATTTGCCAGTATTTGGCCCATATCCCTCTAGATCCTTGCTATTCATATATCCATCCAGATGCCTTTTAAATGTTGTAATTTTACCAGCCTCCACCACTTCCTCTGGCAGCTCATTCCATACACTCACCACCCTCTGAATGAAAAAGTTGTCCCTTAGGTCCCTTTTAAATCTTTCCCCTCTCACCTTAAACCTATGCCATCTAGTTTTGGTCTCCCCTACTCCAGGGAAAAGATCTTGTCTTTTCACCCTATCCATTACCTGCATGATTTTATAAACCTCTATAAGGTCACCTCTCAGCCTCCAATGCCCCAGGGGAAAGTGTCCCCAGCCTATTCAGCCTCTCCCTATAGCTCAAACCCTCCAACCCTGGCAACATCCTTGTAAATCTTTTCTGAACCCTTTCAAATTTCACAACATCCTTACTGGTGATCTTTTTCCAGAATGAAGGAAGAGAAGGGCAAGAAATTGCAGGCAAAAGTGAAGTGAATTGCAATACAATATGAAGTCATGAAGACTAATTCAGGAGTAGATAATGGAGCATCTTCCAATAAATCTTCAATTTCATGGAAGATACAGAATATAGAACATAGAACAGTACAGCACAGGAACAGGCCCGTCAGCCCACTAGGTGTGTGCAACCATGATGCCATTCTAAAATAATCCCATCTACCTGCACATGGTTCACATTCCTCTGTTTCCCGCCTGTTCATGTGTCTGTCTAAGTACACCTTAAAAGTTGCTATTGTGTCTGCGTCTACCACCTCCCCAGCCGCACCTTCCAGGCATCCATCACCCTATGCATGTAAAAGATAGATCTACCCTTTCTTGTAAATGCTTCCTGCATTTTTCACAATGCCCATGGAAGTGAGCATTGTGGACCCAAATCAAGGACAAGTGGTCCATACCCACTTTTACATTCCATTGCTTTAGAAAGTATACAAAGAAGAAAATAAGGCCAAAAGATAGAGGAGCAGAAGTTGGCCTTTTGGCCCATCGAGTCTGCTTCCCATTCCCATTGGGGGCAGCACAGTGGCTCAGTGGTTAGCACCACTGCCTCACAGCACCAGGGACCGAGGTTCAATTCCTGCCTCAGGAGACTAACTGTATGGAGTTTGCACGTTCTCCCTGTGTCTGTGCAGGTTTCCTCTGGGTGCTCCAGTTTCCTCTCACAGTCCAAAGATTTGCAGGTTAGATGGATTGACCATGCTAAATTGCCAAGGGTGTGCAGTTTACGTGGATTAACCAGGGGAAACACAGAGTTACAGGGATAGAGTGGGTCTGGGTGGGATGCCCTTCAAGGGGGTCAATGGGCCAAATGGCCTACTTCCACACTGTAGGGATTCTATGAATCATTGCTGATTTTCAACCCTTTTCTCCTATTTTCTCCTTATATCCTTTGATCCTTTTACTAAGGGACAAACAATGTTTGAAGTCATAATTTCCATAAAGCATGAGATAGATGGATCCTTTTACTAAGGGACAAACAATGTTTGAAGTCATAATTTCCATAAAGCATGAGATAGATATGAAAAGCATTGCCCTATTTAGCATTTCAGGGAATAGTCTCAATAAGAGAGATTTAGTGACATGTCTTAAACATGACTGAAGCTTGGAATGAAAAGCTCACATGCCTTTCCCAGCATCTCACAATGTTGTACTTGTCTTGCAGTTTGGATGCCAGTCAGGTAGCACGGAGTGTAATTCTGCCATGTATTTCCTTATTAATTGAGAGCCTTAGGATATGGAGTTCATGGAATAAGTCAGTTTATGTGCTCTCCTTTTGCATATGAGTCAGTGCATAACTGTTATGCAGTCTCATCTGTCTGACATATTCTGATGCTGATCCTCCTCTTCGTCCAAGAATACAATTTATAACAAAATTCAAGGTCCAAATTTATTAAGGCATAGCAAAAATGACAAGTGCACAAAACCTTTTGCAAAGGAATGCCAAAGTGGGCAACATTCTTTTTTCAGAAAATGTACTGGAGTGTTTACAAAGTCATCTTCAAATACAGTATTCGTCTTTTCTCTGTCCTTGTAAATCAAGGTTATCGCATCCTCAGAATCATGGATGCCCATTTTGTGTGGATCATACCGGCAAACTCGTGTTGTTAAAAAAATGGGCATCATGATTATCATAAGGAGGTAATCTTTTCTTTCTTTTAAGCGCTTCCTGCGTTTTCCATGATTCTCAATGGAAGCGGCCATTCTGGGCAGAAATCCAGTCTGAATGATTCGTACCCACATTGTCACTCCAGTTTGATGTTATAATCTCCAGAAACAGTTCACACTCTGAGAGATCAAAATAAATAACTGCAATGTGGTAAATAGACGTATGCTACAGGATTTTTTTTTGTCATGAGGATTACTATCTACCTTATATTGAGCAGTAGAAATTGTAAATCAAAACATAGTTTAAAAAGTGAAGCATACTCAGCAATGTTAGAATAAGAGAAATTTCTTCACCCAGGGAGCGGTGAGTCTGTGCGATTCAAAAAGTGGTTGAGGCCAAAACATTGTGTTTTCAAGAAGGAGGTAGATATAGTTCTTGTGGCTAAAGGCATGAAGAGACATGGAGGAGGATGGAATGAGGATGTTGAGCTCAATGATCAGCCATGATCATATTGAATAGCGGAGCAGGCTTGAGGGGCTGAATGGCCTACTCCTGCTGCTATGTTCTATGAATCTGTATGCTCCTGTTTTATGATATACTGCCTACTTACAATTTCCAACAACATAAATTTTCCTTTTATAAAATCTAGAGATCAAGTAATTCGATTACTTCCAAAAACCGAACGAGAAGTGGACGCATTAAAAAATATCCATGAACTCGTCAAGGTAAGAGCTAATTTTTCAGATATATTTCAATAAATCCTGAAACAGAAAGAATCTTTTGATATTTGTATTGAACTTCTTTTACCAATTTGAGTAATCAGCTAACAGACAACTTTTCATGGCAATAAAAATAAACTTGTGTACATAATATATACTTAAGAAAATTCAACATAAAACATGTGAAACATGGTTATCAATAATCTATTGCAATGTTCACTGGGAGTTGAGACCAAATAGATTAAAGCAGGGTTAAATGACAGGAGATAATAGGGACAGGGTGTAGATGTATTTTAGTCCCCCTTTTTGAAGTCATGCATTCTGCTTCTATATTTAGATGCTTTTTGAGTTTTTTATCGTTAGTGAATACCTAATGGCTGAGACCCAGTGCTGCTATCAGGCCATGAAGGGCTAGAGGTTGAGAGTAATATTTGTAAATCAGCAGACAAACTGAGGATCAAAAAAACCAAAGTGGCGGGAGTTAGGATAATAGGTAAGGGGGAACAAGGGTGCAGAAAGATAAAGATGGGAGAAAGTAGGGGAAAACAGATCAAAGCATAAAAGGCAGGAGTGGTACACTTCCAAGTTCTGTCACTGCAGACACAAGCACCACAGTTAATAAAAGCACTTGCTGAATTCATCAATTCATACAGCTCAGAAAAGGCCCTTCGGCCCATCGAGTCTGCACCGACATAACTACCAGTAAAAGTGTGTTAATCCCAATTTCCTGCACTTGTCCCATATCCTTAAATGTTGTAATGCATGGAGGAGGAAGAATTATATTTCAACCCAGCCACATCCATCCTGGGAAAGAAATAATTAGCCAAAGGGACAAATATTGACTGCAACAGGCATCTTGAAATTAGGTCCACAGGTAATGATGAGACGCATAGATAGAGTAGATAGTCAGAGACCTTTTCCCAGGGCAGAAATGACTATTACGAGGGGGCATAACTTTAAGGCGATTGGAGAAAGGTATAGGGGAGATGCCAGAGGTAGGTTCTTCACACAGAGAGTGGTGGGGTGTGGAATGCGCTGCCGACAGTGGTAATGGAGTCAGATACTTTAGAGTCTTTTAAGCGACTGTGGGATAGGCACATGGAGGGTAGTAAAATGTAGGGTGTGCAGGATAGTTTGATCTTAGTAGGATAATAGTTTGGCACACCATTGTGGGCTGAAGGGCCTGTACTGTACTGTACTGTGCTGTACTGTTCTATGTTCTATGTTCTATGTAAGAAGTATTGTAGGCCATAGATGCAGGGGTATGCTATCTGAAGGTGATGATAAGAAATGTTAGTGATTTTTTTATATAATTAAAATAAAAATTCAAGTTAAAATATGTTTGAAAATCATTTTACAATTCCTTCTTGTTTTTTGTTTACTTACCTTCACTGACATGACGGACACTACCACAGCTTCAAAGCCTAAAGCAGCTTCATAACAACACTGATTAGCCCAAACCTATAAATACAGGTATACTCTTGTACTGCAATGGTATTGTCCCTACCTCTGAGCAAGAGGCCCAGATTTAAGTCCCACTTACTCTGGAGGTGTGTAACAATAACGCAGAATAGCTTTATTCAAAAATCCTGATAAATGCATGCAGGTTTACCAATTTAAAAAAAAATCCTGTCTTTTAACTGATTTAATAGTTAGGAACCAAATAGTGAGCATCTGATTAGAAGAAGGGCATAAGATAGTTTTAAATTATTGTTGCTAAAATTATTCAATCTGTGCACAGAACAGGTACACATAGAATTAGATGTGCATCCAGTGGTTAAATTTGGAGTCACCACCTCTAGAATCTGAAAAGGCCTGACAGAATATCATGGATCAAGTAAAATCTAGAAATTTAGAAATAGGTTGAGAATGAACATCAAAAGGACAACAATTTTTTTTAGAAGGAATATATTCTTTGGCAGAATCTTTTAGGGGTATGAGTGATGTAGGCTACGGCAAGATTTGTGGCAGAATCAGATGGAAGGGAAGTTAGTTGTTGTTAGCAGGCCTCAGTCAGGTCAGGGCGATCATCTTCATTCAAGAGGCACCAGCTCAGTGAGTCAAAGGGCAGCTTGGGTACAGTCAGTCAGCAACTCTGAGCTGTGAATTAGGAGGTTCTCCACACAATGAATGAGGACCTGAATGTCAGACTGCCCATTCCCAATATTGAGTCTTTCTGCCCCTATAGGGACTACTTTTCTCCTGGAAGCAGAGAGAGAGACACAGGCAGGGAATAAGAGAGGAAGTGTATGACACAGCTGTTAGGTTTGATACAGATAGGGAGGTGTCCCAAGCGAGTGAGTTGGCAGCGCAGAGGGCACGTGTTGTTAGTGGTGTTGTGGTTTGGAGTGGCTGACAGTGCATGAGTGAATATGTTGCAAGTGATAGTGAGAATGGTAGATTGTGAGCCTTGGTGATGCAGTAGCAGAGATAGAGTGAGTGTGAGATATTGGAGGGAAGATGCTGGTTAGAATGCTGGCAGAATGGAGAAGTTAATTGTTTCCTAGAGTGATGTGCATTCCTCCAGATGGCAAAGACTGTTTTAACCCCAGTGGCAATCCTGGGTCAGGCTGTGCCTTCAAGTGCTAGTCTCTCCTACTAATAGAAACATCTCCATATCCTTTCTATCCAGGTCTCTCAGTATTCTGTAAGTTTCAATCGGATCCCCTCTTCATCCTTCTAAACTCCATTGAATGACCTTAACCGCTCCTCATTTGACAAGCCCTTCCATACTGGGATTATTCTTGTAAATCTCTGGACCCTTTCCAATGCCATACCTATCCTTCCATTGATATGGGCCCAAAACTGCTCAGAATATTCTAAATGCGGTCTGGCCAGAGCCTTATACAGCCTCAGCAGTACATCTTTGCTCTTGTATTCTAGCCCTCTTGAAATGAATGCTAACATTGCATTTGCCTTCATAGCTGCCAACTGAACCTGCATGTCACCCTTTACAGAATCCTGAACTAGGGCTCCCAAGTCCCTTTGTGCTTCAGATTTCCAAAGCTTTTCCCCATTAAGAAAATAGTCCATATATAATCTCTATTCTCCCTACCAAAGTGCATAACTTTGCACTTTCCCACATCACTGCCCCAAGTTTGTGACACAGTGTTTCATTGCAGCTGTGTTGCTCCATGTGAATACTTGTACAACCTTGAAGCCCCTTGAAGGTTTAGTATGCATAACCATTCAGCAGTAGGTCACAGCTGCAATTATACCGATATTTTAAGCAAATGTTAAGAATTACTCAGCTAACTCTGCTGGGCAGTCTGTAGTATATTTGCTCCAGAGGACAACAGTGGGCTTAGAAGGTCCACAAGTTTTTGGTCTTTTTTTCTCTGGGTCCTCTTCTGAGCCAGCTGAACATTTTGCTTTTGCTTCCAACTTCCAAAGCCCATCCAAACAGTCAGCCTCCAGATGTCACAGTCAACAAACTCACTGAGGTCAGTGTCAATGTCCATTATTATCATATCTGCAGTGGTTCATGAAGGCAGCTCACCACCTTCTCCAGGGCAATTAGGGATGGACAATAAATGCTAGCTTAGCCTATGTTCCCGTGAATGAAGTTAAAACACTTACAAGTATCATTTTTGTGGAGGTATGGACACCCATGAGCTCACCATACAGAGGGTCTTTGGATATAAGGTTCTTATTATCCAGTGAACATGGGCTAGCCATGACAGTACAGACAGTGTTAGCTCAGCAGTGAATGTATGCTGATGGAATTAGTATGCTTCAGGACCTCTGACTTGGTGACCTTATTCTGTCAAGTGCTGCCAATGATACATCTGAGACAGCGAAGGTGGAAACTATTTATCAGAATATAAGAACCTCAATTCAGCCTTCTCCCTTGCATGGCAAGACCTGGACAACATATGCTAACCCAGAAGAGTAGCTGGAGGATGTTGGCTTTATAGACTCACTGTTCAGTGCACTTGGCCGGGTTACGGTTGAACATTCCTTTAATCAGCCTCTTTGAAATTTGTATCTGTTGATTTCCGCATCAAATGACTCATTGTCGGTCATTCTAGATCCCAGATGTGTGAAGCTATCAACAAGCAACAATACCCATCGCCAATATTGATAGATGGTGGTATGGCAATATCCTGGATCATGACATTTGTCTTCCTGATGGACAAATCAAACCCTTCATGGGTGTGGGATAGCCCCTGTCCATTTCTCACTGAAGGCATTCCTTCGTGCAGTACAGCTTATTAGAAACATAGAAAATAGGAGCAGGAGTAGGCCATTCAGCACTTTGAGCCTGTTCCACCATTCAATGTGATTGTGATTGATCATCCAACTCAATCCCATGCACTTGTTTTCTCCCCATACCCTTTGATCGCTTTAGCCCTAAGAACGATAGTTAACTCCTTGAAAACATTCAATGTTTAGCTCTCCACTGTTTCTCGTGGCAGAGAACTCCACAGACTCACCATCTTTGGATGAAAAAATTTCCACTTATCTCAGTCCTAAATGGCTCACCCTGTATCCACAGAGTGTGGCTCTTCCCTGCTTCCAGACTCCCTGGTCATTGGGAATATTTTTCCCGAGTCTACCCCATCTAACCTTGTTAGAACTTTTTTAGGTTTCTGTGGGATCCCCCTCATTCTTCTAATCTCCAGTAAACCTTTGTTGCACTCCCTCCATAGCCCAGGATATACTTCCTTGGATAAGGAGACCAAAACTGCACACAGTATTCCAAGTGTGGTCCTATAAAGACCCTGTTGCAGCAAGACATCCCTGCTTCTGTACTCAAATCTTCCTGCTATGAAGGACAATGTACCATTTGCCTTCTTCATTGGCTGCTACAGGTGCATGCTTCCTTTCACTGACTGGTTTACAAGGACACCCAGATTTCATTGTACCTCCTGTTTCCCATTACTATTCAGAAAATAATCTGCCTTCCTGCTTTTGTTACCAAAGTGGATAATCTTACATTTATCCCCATTAGGCTTCATCTCCCATGCTCACTCACTCAACTTGTCCAAATCACACTGAGGCAG